GTGAATCTTGTAAACTGTATGAGCGAATGAGCGTGGCGCTGAGGTGAGAGCCACATTTTGAAAAGGAACCGCCCTCACTCCGTGAAGCTCTTGCATTTGTTTAGAAAGAATGTGCGCGGCGCTTGCGCGAGAGCCACAGTTTGAAAACGGTCGATCCTCAATCCGTGAAGTTTTTGCATTTGTTGGCCACGAAGGCGCGCGGCGCTAAGGCGCGAGCCACATTTTGAAAACGAGGTATCCTCAACCCGTGAACAAATGTGCGCCGCGTTATGGCGAAAACCACATTTTGAAAACCAGCCGCCCTCCATCTGCGAAGCTGCTGCCAGTTGTTAAGCCTCAGAATTATAAGTGGTTGGGAAAGTATCCGGCGAAACGTCCGACCCGCCCTAAAACTGGCCTCGGTGTGCGACAGAGAGAAGTTATGTATACGGAAAAGAAAAGGAGGAAGAGGAGGAGGAGGAGGAGGAAACGGAGGAGGAAGAGGAGGAGGAGGAGGTGGGGGAGGAGGACAAGTGTAAGTCCGAGAGTCATCAAGGATGCTGGAAATAACGTGCCCTTCAAGCTCCCTCTTCATAGGCCTCTACAACGGTTCATTTCCATTGAGGGATCTGCCTCGTTGGAAGACAGCCGCCTGAAGACATGCCAAAGCATGGTTCACGATTTTTCAACGCCACGTATCAACCTGACTGCTGCATCTTGATGATCCGGAGTCGTGCCAGAGCGCCAGTTTTTGGAACTTCAACACCGCGAAACAACATAATTGCTGCACCCGCTTAATCCTGAATCCTTCCAGCACGCCATTTGTGGTACTACCAATCATCATGGGAATCCGTCAAACTTTTGCAAATGCTGAAAACAAATGTGCGCGGCGCTCAGGCGAGAGCCACATGTTTAAAAGGAGCAGCCCTCAGTCCGTGAACTTGCAAATTCTGAAAACCAGATGCACGGCGCTAAGGCGAGAGCCACATTTCGAAAACGGCCCGCCCTCAATCCATGAAGCTCTTGCAAGTTTTGAAAGCGAATGTGCGCGGCGCTACGGCGAGAGCAACATTTTGAAAACGACCCGCCCTCAATCCGTGAAGCTCTTGCAAATACTGAAAACGAATGTGCGCGGCGCTAAGGCGAGAGCCACAGTTTGAAAATCGCCCGCCCTCAGTCCGTGCAGCTCTTGCAAGTATTGAAAACGAATGTGCGCGGCGCTGACGCGAGAGCCACATTTCAAAAACGACCCACCCTCAGCCCGTGAAACTCTTACACTGTTTAAAAGGAATCTGCGCGGCGCTGAAGCGAGAGCCACATTTTGAAAACCACCCGCCCTCAACCCGTGAAACCCGTGCACAAGTTGACAGCTAATGTGCGCGGCGCTAAGGCGAGAGCCACATGTTGAAAACCACCCCCGCCCTCCATCCGTGAAGCTCTTGCAAATGTTGATTGACAACGAATGTGCGCGGTTGTAAGGCGAGAGCCACATTTTGAACACCACCCGCCCTCCATTTGTGAAACTGCTGCCATTGTTCAAGACTCAGAGTCATAATTGGTGACGATGTCTCAGGCGAAACGCCCGACCAGCCTTAAAAACTGGCCTCGGGGTGCGACAGGGAGGAGTTATCTGCAAGGAGAAGGAATGGGGGACGCGGAGGAGGAGGGGGAGGAGGAGGAGGAGGAGGAGGAGGAGGAGGAGGAGGAGATTGGGAAGGAGGAGGAGGAGAGGAGGAGGAGGCGGAGGTGGAGGCCGGAGTGGAGGAACTAGAGAGGAGGAGAACGAGAGAGTAGGAGGCGGAGGAAGGAGGAGGGCGGAGGCGGAGGAGGAGGAGGAAACGGGAGACAAGGGGTGAGGCGGAGGAGAGCGGGAGGAGGAGGAGGTGGAGGAGGAGGAGGAAGGAGGAGGAGGAGGGATGAGGAGGGACAGAGGATGATGGAGATGAGGGAGGAGGAAGACGTCGACGAGGAGGTGGAAGGAGATGGGGGGGGAAGGTGGAAGGAACAGGAGGATGATACCGGGGGAAGAGGACCGTGGAGAAAGAGGAAGAGGGAGAGGAATGAGGCGACCAGAAATATCGGAGGAGAGGAGGGACCTAGAAGAGTCTGAGGAGAAGAGGGAAGGAGGAGGAGAGGAGGAAATGAGAGAGAGAGAGAGAGACGAGAGGAGATAAGGAAGGAGGAGGGAGGAGGGGCAGGAGGAGGAGAGAGGAGGAAGGAGGAGGAGATGCGGAGGAGAGAGGAGGAGGAGAGGGGGAGGGGAAAAGAGAGGGGGGGGCATGACCAAAAAGGGGCCACACGAGGCAGGATGAGGAAACGGAGGAGGAGGAAAAGGAGGAGGAGGAGGAGGAGGAGGAGGAGGAGGAGGGGGGGCGGGGGGAGTGGGAGGAGTAGGAGGAGGAGTAGGAGGAGGAGGAGGATGACGATGATGATGATGATGATGATGATGATGATGATGATGATGATGATGGTGGTGGTGGTGGTGGTGGTGATGATGATGATGATGCTGGTGGTCATGATGATGATGAATGATGATGGTGATGATGCTGATTCGGATGCTGATGCTGATGCTGATGCTGATGCTGCTGATGATGATTGTGATGATGGTGATGTTGGTGGTGGTGCTGATGAGGATACGATGATGCTGCTGATGATGATGATGGCGATGCTGATGATGGTGATGCTGATGATGATAATGATGATGATGATGATTATGATGATGATGATGCTGATGATGCTGAGGCTGATGGTGATTACGATGCCGATGCTGATGATGATTCTGGCGATGCTGATGCTGCTGATGGTGATGCTGCTGCTGATGACGATGATGATGATGATGCTGACGATGCGGATGATGATGGTGATGATGCTTATGACGTTGTCGATGATGTTGACGATGATGATGATGTCGATGATGATGATGATGATGCTGCTGATGATGGTGATGATGATGATGATGATGATGATGATGATGATGATGATGATGATGATGCTGCTGCTGCTGATGATGCGGATGTCGATGCTGGTGATGATGCTGATGGTGATGATGATGCTGGTTGTGGCGGTGGCGGTGGCGATGATGATGATGGTGGTGGTGGTGGTGGTGATGTTGCTGATGATGATGATGAGGAGGAGGAGGAGGACGAGGACTATTACTAATACTAATATAAATAAACATCATAATACACAGAAGAATACTGGGAACACTACTACTAATACGAATGCGAAAAACATGGCGAAGCAGGTGACGAATGATGGGGAGGAGGAGGAGGAGCAGGATGTGGAGAAGGAGGGGAGGGGAGGTGGGAGGAGGGGGAGGGGGAGGATGGGGATTTGATAGGAGAGGGGAGTAGAAAGAGGGAGGAGGAGGAAGAGGAGGAGGAGGAAACGGAGGAGGAGGGGGAGGGGAAGGGGGCAGAGGAGGAGGAGGGGGAGGGAGAGGGGGATGCGGAGGCGGAGGAGGAGGCGGAGGACGAGGAGGAGGAGGAGGAGGCGGAGGAGGAGGAGGTGGAGGAGGATGAGGAGGAGGAGGAGGAGGATCATGATGATGGTGATGATGATGGTGGTGATGATGACGATGATGGTGATGATGATAATGATCATGATGCTGATGATGATGATGATGATGATGATGATGATGATGCTGATGCTGATGACGATGCTGATGATGATGGTGATGATGAAGCTAATGATGATGATGATGATGATGATGATGATGGTGATGCTGATGATGATGATGATGATGCTGAGGAGGAGTGGGAGGATGATGACGAGGAGGAGGGGGAAGAGGAGGATGAGGAGGAGGAGGCGATAGAGGAAGAGGAGGGAGGATGAGGAGGACGAGGCTGAGGAGGCGGAGGAGGACGATGATGATGATGCTGATGATGATGATGCTGATGATGATGATGCTGCTGCTGATGATTATGATGATGCTGATGCTGAGGCTGATGATGATGATGTTGATGATGCTGATGATGATGATGCTGATGCTGATGACGACGATTTTGAGGATGCTGATGCTGATGCTGATGCGGATGATGATGAGGATGCTGATGATGCTGATGATGATGATGATGATGATGATGATGATGATGATGACGATGATGCTGATGATGACGATGCGGATAATGATGATGATGTTGCTGCTGATGATGATGATGATGCTGACGATGACGATAATGCTGATGCTGGTGCTGATGCTGATGATGATGAGGAGGAGGAGGAATAGGAGGAGGAGGAGGGGGAGGAGGAGAAGAAGAGGAGGGAGGAGGAGGAGGAGGAAGGGGAGGAGGGGAGGAGGAGGGAGGAGGAGGAGGAGGAGGAGGAGGAGGAAGGAGGGGGAGGGGGGGAAGGAGGAGGGGATGGAGGGGCGGAGGAGGCGGAGGGAGGGGCTGAGGCGGAGGAAGAGGAGGGAGGAGGAGGCGGAGGAGGAGGAGGAGGAGGGGGAGGAGGAGGCGGAGGAGGGAGGAAGAGGAGGAGGGGCGGAGGAGGACAAGGAGGAGGCGGAGGAGGAGGAGGAGGAAGGCGAAGAGGAGAAGGAGGAGGAGGAGGAGAAGGAGGAGCGGGCGACTGAGGGATCGTTGCGGCACGCATTTGAACGAATTTGAATGGAATGAGATCCTAAAGGTCTGACGGCTGTCATCAAGTCGTTTTACGGCAGTCAATTTCGAGAATCCGCCGTGGTAGGTATACATATATATATATATATATATAGATGTACGTATGTATGTGTGTGTGTATGTATGTATGTATAGATATACATACATACATATGTATACATACATCTATGCATGCAACTAACTAGATCCATGCACACATAGAAGCGAACAGCGACTCAACCCGCATGCGTTGAGGTGTATTCAAAGATGTCTTCAACTTCTGGAGAATTCGCGGACGTTCCAGCGCGAGGCGAGGGACAATGGAAGTCTTCAACCGATTCGCGAATGGGAAGAAAGGGGTGTGGACGAGGATGAGACAAAAAAGGGGAGGGGCAAGGCTGCTGAGGAGCAGGATGAGCAAAGGCCCAGCAGTTGTCGCAAGAGATGCGGTGGGCAGCGGCGCACGCCGAAGCGGGCGAGCTGTGGAGTTCGCCGCTGCATCTGAACTTCAACTCGATGATCTTCCCAGGCAAGCCCTCGCGACCGATCTCGGGGGGCGGTACCCATCCAGGGGATCGAAATGGGGGACGACATAGGAGGAATAACACCAACGACAGATGTAGCCTTTTGTCATTATGGCTCGCTGTCGGTGTCGCCTCGGGCGCTGTCCAGTTGTGACGGGAGGCGTTTGCCCAATTATGCGGTTGGTGTCGGTTTCGAACAGCATGCGCTGTCGGGCATCGTCCCCATTTTGTCCGTCCCCATCTGGGCCCACCAGGAGAAGTTTCCTGCCCGTGGGTTGCCATTGTACGTTGCTTGTCTTCGGCATGTGTAGGGTGCCCTGGGTGCTTCCGGGAGGCCCTGGGAGGCCTCCAGGACCACAGGGACCTCGTGGGGGTCCCTCCCAAAGGCGAAGCGATCGCACTGGCATGACGAGCGCCGGGCGCCCGCGCACGGTCCCTCCGCCGCGGCCTGTGCCTGGCTGGCCACCCCCAGGCCGCTCCTCTTGCGTCGCCCCCCTGCGCGCTTCGCGCACCGGGGGGTGGGAGGGCGAGCTGTTGTGGCTTGCTGCGTGCAGTCACGACTGGCCCTTCGCCAGGGTGACCATTGAGGTGCGGGCCCACAGGCGCTTCGACGGAGGCACAAGGGGCGGATAGCCCAGGGGTGGGCAGTGCACGCGTTCGCCGAGGAGCCGCGTCGTTCTAGGCCTCCCAGATGGGGTCGGAGTAGATGGGTTTGGAGGCTCGCCCCGCATTGCCGGATGCATGGGCAACGCGGCTCGATGTGATGCCCGATTTTCTCCACGCTGACGTCGGCGATGCATCGGCGATGTATCGACGATTCGGCGCGATCCTCCGACCCCATTTACTCCGTCCCCATCCGGGAGGTATCTATAGTTGGCCCTGATTAGTCCGTCGACCCTGCCAGATCAAGGGGACGACTTGTGTCATGTGCCTCGCAACCCATGCGATCTCACGTTCCCATGGCAACGTGGCCCTCGGAAGGGTCTTGTGTCCTCTCGTGTGTCCTGTCCAATCAAGTCCGACTGTAGTCGTAGACTCGGGCGATCGCAGGCCCTGCCGCAGCCGCCGAGGGGTCCTTTCAGCTCTGGCGCCTGCGTGCCTGGCCTTGGCCTCGCCGCGGCACCCTCGAGTCGCGCACCAACGGTCACCCCGTGCCTGGGGCTACCCTTGCGCGCGTGGCCGATGCGGGGATGGCGGTCGGGAGCCGGCGAGGAGACCGTCCGCGGGCGTGCGTCCTTTGATGTCCTCGCGGACGTCTCTGCTCAGCGCTGGACCCCCAGCCCTGGAACGCGGAACGCGCCAGGGGCTCTGCCAGAGGCGCCGCAGGCGGGTCCAGCGCCAACGCAAGAATTCTTCGAGCCCTTCCCACTCTCCCCCCAAGATTTCAGGGGCCACGTTAGGGGGGGATAGGCCGAGGAGTGGGGGCGGGGCACCCCCAATCGCCCTCTCAGCATCCCCCCAGATCCCACCGATCCTGGGCCTGGGACTGGCCCAGCCAGCATCGGTGCGGGTGGACGGGCGGCGCCCCCCGGGACCACCTGCCGTGGTCGGCCCGCCGCTCGGAATGGCCACGCGGGCCCAGGAGGAGCCGGGCAGGCCGTCCGTCGGTGGACGAGCAACGGCAGGGCACCCTTCTTTCCGCCGTCGGGGACGCCTGCCCCGGAGCGGTCGGAGGGTTGATCCCCCCGCGCGCTCACGTCGGGCCATGATGTGGTTCAGCCTTTCCTGAAACAGGCGTCCCGCTTGTCGGACAAGGCTAGAAAGGCATGGATCAGTCCGCATGGGCTGAGTCTGTGGCATGGTGCCTTGTTTTCTGGCATCTGGAGGGCCTGCCCGACCGCTTCCTGGACTCCCGTGGCCCGCAGGGTGGCAGACTGACCGCGGCCCGTCTGGGATACCCAGGAGGTGGCAATGGGCAGGTTCCTGGAGGAGAGTCACCACATCGGGAAGACCAGACAGCTGCACAGGCACAATCCTTTGCAGGCTCCCGCGGACTTCTTGGATGGGCGCTGGGCGCCCGCCGCCCGCCACCTCCGGCGCCGCCCTGGCTGTAAGTGAAGGATCGGGGCTCGGATGGAAACGAGTCGTGGATTGCTGTTCTTCGTTTCCGTGCTCCCGGGGCCATCCACGGGCGCCGGGAATGTCAACAAACATGCTCAGAGAAGCCTCCCAGTCTGGGGCTCGTTTCCCTCGCAGGCGCTTCGTAATGCGGCGGCTGCGAGGTGGGGGGGGCCACCGAAGGTTGCAGGAATGGGGCCCTCAAGGGCCCCCCATGGGGCACCGAAGGTGCACGAAGGTATTCCCCCCCTCCCGCGTACTGCCCTCCCATTCAGGCCCCCTTCTCTTCATGGCAAGCCGACCCCAGAAGTCCGCGCGGACCCCCTGAAGTCTGTCTGCGCAGTGTTTTGGTCCTCTCCCATCTTCAAGGCCGAGCTGGAGGCCATCCTCAGCGACCCCCGTGACCTGTTCGGGCAGCTGGTTCGAGTGGACGCGTCGAGGGAGCACCTCGCGAGCCCAGGTTCGTGGGATACCGTCCGCGTCGTCAGATACCACCATTGGTTCGACCTCTTCTGCGAGATGGCACCGCTCACGTGCGAGCTCGTGCAGTCTCGGCCCGAAATCAACAGCTCGAATGACAAAAATTGCATGATAAGCTTAAACGTTTGGAGGTCCGCGTGGATTTCTCGGATCGGCGTGGGTTTCCCCCACGGTCGCGTTCCGCGCACTAAAGGGTGCAGGGGGGTCCAGCGCCGCCCCAATAAATCAGCGCGGACCTCCGAAAGTTTACGTCTTTGACAATTTTGTTGTTCTAACAGCTGCCCGTTCATGAACGTGAACTACGTGAAGCTGAATCCCGGCGCCCACCTGAAGCCCCACTTTGGCAACGGCCCTCGCTTGTCCGCTCACCTGTCCGTCATCGCGCCGGAGCCGCTGCACGCAGCCATGCAGGTTGGGACCGAGCGCGTCCTGTGGCTGGAGGGGAAGGCGATCGTCTTCGACGACACGTATCCCGAGGAGCCGAACCACTGCATGGGCACTTTCGGGGGCCCGCGCGGATCTCTCGGGTCGGCGCCGGACGCTCTCCCCTGGCGCGCGGAGCTCCCATTTGCGCGGCGCCACCCAGCGAGAGTCCAGCGCCGATCCAACAAATCTGTGAGGATCTCCGAATGTTTCTGCCCGTGCCGTGTTTCTGGTTCCCTTGGCCATCCCCACAGCGTCAGCCACTGGGGAGTACTGCCCAGATATCCGGGGCGCTTCCAGGCGTGATACCGCCGCTTGCCCCTTTGCGCGAGAGGCCGTCGTCGCGGGGGGGGGGGGCGTCCCCGGGATCACGAATGCCCGCTTTCCTGGTGGAAGCAGCCAGCAGCTTCCAGAGTCGAAGAATAAGAAGAAGAGGAATAACAAAAGAGAGACAATGATTTGATCATAAAGCTTTTGAGGTTCCTCGCAGGCTTCTTGGACTGTCGTGAGACACTCCCCTGGCGGCGCCTCCGGCGTCGCTCCGCATGACAGGGAGGGGCCTAAGCGGATCCAAGAATTTGTATTTTTTCTTCTACGCCTCCAGGGATTTCCTACGAGCCTCCCTGAGGCTTCCAATTACTCTTAACCTCTTCTTCGCTGTTGGGTTCTCGTTTTCTCGCCGAAGCGCCACACGCATGCCTGACCTGAACAAAATATGAATGCTACTCTCCTCTCTCCCGTGATGACGTCCGGAAGATATTCGGTCCCACTCCTCGAATTGTTTTTCCCGGCTGTTGGGTTTTAGTTACTGTTTTTGTTCCAACATGTTCGCCCGCTGAAGCGCTGGCTTCATTTTCGGGCTTCAGCTCGTTCCGAATCGTACTCCCGCTGCAGCGTTGGCCTCGTTTCCGTGCTTCCGCTCGTTCCGAATCGTGCTCCCGCTGCAGCCGTAGCCTCATTGCCGCGCTTCCGCTCGTTACGAATCGTGCTCCCGCTGCAGCGTTGGCGTCATGATTTCCAGTGTCATGCCACGACATGCAATGCACTGCTATGTGGTGTTCCGCTGTGCGATGCCATGCCTTAAGCTGCAATGCTAGGATATGCAGTGCTTGACTACACAGAGCCACGTCATGCTATGCCATGTTCTGTTATGTGCCGCTGTGCGATACCATAATTTGCGTTGCAATGCTTTGTGTTGCAAGTCTTCGCTACGCAACGCCACGCCATGCTATGACATACTGCACTATGCCGTGCTCTTCTACGCCCTGCTATGCCGTGCTCTACGATGCATCGCGCACCCTCTCGGGATCATTGTTCTGCTCGACATCCGACTGTGCGAATAGAGAGGAGATCTACGCCATGGTAAGGGATGGGAGGGAGGGGTAGGACGTCAGATATGACGCGAGCGCACCTAGCTTGCCTCCTCTCCCTCCCTCTCCCCTCCTCCTCTCACGCCTCCTCCTCCTCCTCCTCTTCGCTCCACCTCCTCCTCCTCCTCCTCCTCCTCCTCCTCCTCCTCCTCCTCCTCCTCCTCCTCCTCCTCCTCCTCCTCCTCCTCCTCTCTCTTCCAGCCTTCGCCCATGTTTGCACAAGCCTAACAAGGATCGTGCACAACTGGGAGCTCCATCTATCTAATGGCCTTCGGCCCACGCCGCCACCATGCTTGGGTTCTGGGTCAGAGTTCTCAGAGATGCTTCTTGGGGTCTCTTCGTTGCGCTCTCGGGGGCCTCTTCGGGGCACTTTCGGAGTCTCTTGGGAGCCTCTTCGGGGCCTCTTCGGGGCCTCTTGGGACCTCTTGGGGGCTTCTTCGGGCCTCTTTGGGGCTCTTGGGGCCCTCGAGGGACCTCCTGGGGGCCCCTCGGTGCCGATGGCTGGAAATATCCGCTCGGGTTCCCCATCTGGGCCCCCTGTTGGAGCCCTGTTTGGGCATTCTTCGGCTGTCTTGGGCGCCTCTTCGGCCGTTTTGGGGCCCTCTTGGGCTGACGTGGGGCCCTCAGGGCCTCTGGGGCCGTCGTGGGGCGATATTGGGGGCCTCTGGGGCCGTCTTGGAGCGTCGGTCAACAACCTGTTGGGAATTAGTTAAGTTTGCCTCTTGGGGCCCCCTTAGGGGCCGTCTTAGGGCCCCCCTTAGGGGCCTTTTGGCGTGCTTTGAGGCTTCTGGGGCCGCCTTGAGGCCGTCTTGGGCGTCTTGGGGCGATCGGTCGGCGACTCCCTGCCCTCTTGGACCGTCTACGAGGCCTCTTGGGGCCATCGTGCCCCGTCTTCGGGTTCTCTTGGGTCCGAAAAAGTGACGTGGCAACGTTTCTTGGAGCTCAAAAAACGCGGCAAGCCCACGAACATTTGGCAATTTGGGGTCTTCCTGGAGCTCAAAAACGCGGCAAGCCCGTCCATCTCGGCACCACCCTCAGGCGGGTTGCGTCCAATCGCATAGCCTACGGCCTGGCGGGCAAGTTTGACCAGGTCCCCCCGCCCAGTTCGCCGATCGTGTCCCACAAGGAGTTCCACGTACGGCCCCAGTGGGCAAGTTCGCATTGCAGATCTCCCCTCCCCGCCTATATCGGAGCACTTATTTTACCATCGCGAAGGGGCCCAGCGGCAAATTGAAGAGGGGGGGAGGAGGGAGGGACGGGCGGAGGAATGGCGGCAGGAGGCGGCAGCAGCAGCGGCCGGCGGCGCACAGCCTGGCCGCCGCCCCGCTCAGCGCGCGGCGAACATTAGCCAAGCGCGCGGGGGCGCGCTGCCAGGCGGTCCCGCAGGGCCGCCTTCCACTCAGCTTCGGCGCCCCTGGCCTGCTTCGGCGCAACCAGCAGCAGTCTGGCCGCCCTCGGCGGCAGCGCTGGCGCCCACCTCGCGCACGGCTGGCTGGCCAGGCGCGCCCAGCACGGGGCCCAGCAGCCGCAGCGGACGCAAGCAACCCAGCCAGGCCATCGCGCAGCGACATGAACCGTCCACGCCCGGCCGGCGAACAACGCGCGCGCTGCCCCGGCCGCACCCTGCCGATTCCTGGCGCAGGCAGGTCTCAGTTGCCCAGGCGGCGCCTCAGCCGCCGCTGCCGCGACTTCGTCCGCCTCCGCAAATGCGCGCCGCCGTGGAGGGCCAGCCCAGCGGCGCCCGACGCGGGGGCCGCCCGGGCCAGTGCTCTCGTGGTTCGCCTTGAAAGCCGCCAGCTCGCTCGCGGCGAGCATCTCTTGCAGGACCATGGGCGCGTACAGCGGGACCGCGCGCCTCTACAGGACGCCGGCAGGGGGCAGCCGCGCGGCTGCGGCCTCCCATGCAAGCTTGTCACCGGCGGCGGTCCTCCTCCGAGATCTCGCGCACCGCGGTTTCGTCTGCGTCGAGGTATGCCTTGACCCAGCGGGCTGCCAGGAAGCTCGAGCGGCACTTGGGCGCGAGCTGCTCCACAAGGTCTGCGTGGGCCCACCCCTGGAGGGTCGCGCCACCGCTAAGCGCCGCTACGCCATGCCGGACCTTGCGTTAGTCGGCCATGACCTCCAGGGGCTGGCCCGACGCTCGCCGCTTGCAGCGCTACCGTGACCTCGGCTCGCTGGGCGGTCTGCAGCCCGTCGACGGGCCTTTGGCGGTCGGTAAGCGGCGCCCTTGGGCAATCCAGGCGCAGACCCCAGCCCGCGCGCGCGAGCATCGGATCCACGGGGTGCTCACAGGCCCCGTCCGTCCAAGCCTTGCCCCGCGATTCGGCCCCGTGCACAGCGCGGGCAGCGGCAGCGCGGGCAGCGGCATCCGTGGGCGGTCGGCGCTGGCGGCGGCGGGGGGCCGTCGTCCAGCGGGAGCACGCCCGAGTTCGCGATGCCTGGTGGTAGGCGTGCGTTGAGGGCGGCCGCCGACTGGCCGGCCGTGATCGCTGAATTGCGGCCCCAGGACCACCTCGGACAGTCCCAGAAGCAGTGCCGCCTGTCCTCGCAGGCCGCGCCGCAATGAGGGCACCGCGCTAGCTGGCCCCAATTCGCTGCGACCGACTCAGCGATGACGTACCCGGCCAAGACGGCGCGGAGTGCCCCGGACGCCGCTGGCGACGTGCGCGAGGTGGGCCCGCCGCGCCGCCACCGCTCGAGCCTCACGCCGCGCCCTTGCCTCAAGCAGCCCCGAGTGGGTGTTTTGGAGAGCGCGGTCCGCGGGTCCCGCAGGAGCGGCGGTCACGCCACTCCAGACCTCGATGTCTGCCTTAAGCTGCAGCTCCGGGAGGCCGCGCGCCGCGGCGGCACACGGGCATGAGCCGCGGCCGTGGCCAGCTTCCCTGGAGCCTGCGGCTGCGCGCCATAGTTCGGCATGGGATCGGCGGCGGCGGATCGCCTTGGCGGCCTGCAGCCGTGGCGCCATCACAACCACTGCGAAGGGGTCGAGGCACTAGCGCGGGGCGAGAGTGCCTGCAGACTGCCCGCCGCGCATCTGTCCGCATTCCAGCGAGCTCGCGCGCCGGCGGGCATCCGCACGATGCCCCGTAGAGGCTGGCTGTTGTGCCCGCCGCGGCTCCCAGCAAGCAGCGCTGCCCGAAGCGCAGCGGCAAGCGAACAATGCGACCGATCTGGACGAGGGCGCCACGCACCCGGTCAGCAGAGACAGCGCAGCGGCGGCTTCCGCCCCCGACCGCGGCAACGCCTAGGTCGCGGAAGCCCGTATGCGTCTGGGTCGGCGGCGCCCGCCCGGTCAGCCATTGCCGCAGCCCCCCATCGATGCCGACTTGCTTGCCTTTCACACGATTGAGCTGCCAACCCATGGCCCCCATCGTTGTCTTCAGTAGTGCGGAGCACCTCCCGCACGCTCTCCGCCGCCTCGCAGCCGAACCTGACATCGGCGCGCGGCCACAAAGTGAAGTCGTCGACATGCCGACGGAGCCTGTCGTCAATCTTGCCTGTGACGCGCGTGCAGGGCAGCGCGAGGACGGCCAGGATGACAACGGACAACGGGCACCCAGGGAACAGCCTGCGGAAGGGAGCCTCTGGCCTTCTCACGGCCTTGCCAACACGAATCCGCCGCTGGGCCCTAGAAGTGGTGACCGCTGGCTGGGCCAGCCGAGCGGGCACGCCGGACCGAGCAAGCACGTTTGGCAGCGATTGCAGGTCGACTTGGTTATAAGCCTTTCGCGCCAGCCCAGCGCCGCCCCAGCGATCACCCCGCCCATTGCATCCGCCGCCTCCAACTCGAGCGAAAGTTTCCAGGCCAGCTCCTCCGCGCCTTGCCGCCGTTCCTGGCCCTTCAACTGCAACACCACTGCGCGAACTGCCGCGACTGGTCATCAGCACAAAGATGATAGAGGATGGGGAGAAGGCGCATGGGCCGACGCTCTATCGGCCCATGTCGGAACACGCCTCCAAGGCTCCACCTACAGCCTCAGTGGTCCAACTGTGGGTCGGCCCGCTCGGTCTGCTCCCAGCCATCACGTCGAACTCCCCAGCCTGGACACCTGCGCATCATCGTAGCATGATTTAGGCAAGGCAATGTGGGTGCCTAAGTATGCCACTGCTTATGCCTGGATCTGCATGGGTATGCGTACGCATGCATCGAGGGATACGCCCATGGACGTAGCTGGAAGTATCTGGGCGCCGCAGATGTCTGTGCATCGATCTGGTGATACCTAGGCATCGAACTGCTGACGCCTAGGCATCGGCAGGTTGGTGCGCAGGGAGGGGTATCAATAGTTCGAGGTACCACAGCCAATGATCCGTGCCAAGTCAAGCTCGCATGGCATAGCGTCCAGCCGCCCGTTTCGGAGTACGCCCCACGCGGATCGTGGCCCACAGGTGTCCACTGATTTACGGCCCGGCTGGGCGAGTTCGTATATTTCCTCCCCGCCCAGTTCGGCGCGCCCTTCACACCGCCCCACAGGGAGCTCCACTTACGGTCACAGTGTGCTAGTTTGCATAGCTTCCCCTCGTCAATGTCACCACACTCCTCACACTTGATCGTGCCCTTGCAGGGAGCTTAGTCTACACCCTCAGTGGGCGCGTTCGCATGTGGGCCGCTGCCCAATTATGCCCCCTCTAACGCGGATAGTGTCCCAGGTTGAGATCTACCAACAGATTCAGTGGGCGCGTCCGCATGCGGAGTTCAGCGCGTTTATTCGCTCGTGCTCCAGGGCCCCCCATACCCCCCCATCCGCCCTGTTCGCGGCTCGCAGTATGTGCAGGCAGGGCCACCGTCTGCGTTACATGCAGCTGCAAGAGTCTTTGGGCTGTGGCTTGCGGGCAGGAGGTTCGATAGCCTCCAGGGGTCCTGCTTCCAGAAGCGTCCCGAGGTTCGAGGCCGCATAATTTGCAAGGAGTCTGGAGGTGGTTTTTATAGCCAATCCACCGCGCCCGCGATCCTTGGGGTTCCCACAGCACTGCCAGGAGGCTTCCAAGGGGCTTCCCCGGCGAAGGTGTCGCGGGAGGACCGCGGAGGGGCTGTCGATGGGGTCTGCGGCCGCGCGGCGACCAGAGAGACTTCCCAGGGCACAGCGAGCCGACTCGGACCCACAAGCCGTGTCTGACTCCAGCCAGTTGCAGGGCCGAGCCCGTCCGGTGCGAGGTGGACATTGATCCATAACCTTTGCCTGAGGCTCGAGCTTCCTGGCGGTGGATATAGATAGATTTGGGCCATGGGTGGCCAAACACATCCGTATCCACCGTCTGCTGAGGTTTCGAGACTGGCAGGCTTGGGCCCACGCCTGTTGCGGGCCGACTGCTTCTCAAGACCTGGGCCTCGGCTACATAACGAGTAGAGCCCGGTGTCGGACGCGATTGGGCCCAGGCCCGAAACGCACGGGTCTAGGCCAGACCAGTCGAACATTTTTCGGGCGCCAGGGTGTGCTTGACGCTCAGGCGCTGGTCCAAGCGAGAAGTGGGCTGCACGGAGCAATTCAGGCACAAAGCGAAGAAGCAAGAGACGAGAGAACAAGAGAACGACGAGGCCCGATCAGACCATGGAAGTCGGCGCGGGAGTGCCGGAGACGGTCCTGCAGCTGCGTACGAGCAGCGAGACGCCAGCGAGAGTTGGAAGGATTTGAAGAAGCGGATTAACACCAGTATGGCGGGGGCAAAAGATGCAGTCAGGGTGGCTCGAGATGAGCCTGACTTGGAATGCAAGCCCTTGATGCCAGATCGGTGGAAGTCTGGTTGCACACCGTAGCGACGGACGACTCCAGCAACACTTCAGCTAAGTTGAGCCTGCCTTGTAAAGGTACTGAGGAAACCCACACAGGGGGAAAACCAAAAACACCCGAGAAGCGTCAAATACCGAAAGGTCCATCTTCGTGACATCCTGATCGTTCACCGGTCGAACACAAATTGGGTCCAGAACAAGTAATTTCGGCTGAGCGGAAAGAGAGAGAGAGAGAGAGAGAGTGAGAGAGAGAGAGAAACGCGGCGAAACAATGGAACAAGTCCGAAGCAGCAGCTTGTGGCATGGATGAGAGCAAGAGGACTCGCAGGAGCAAGGTGAGCAGGAACATTGTGGTGGGCATTGTGAGACACAATTATCTCAGAGGTCTCCAGAGGGATTCCAAAGGGCTCGCGACGATAGACGATGGTGGTCTCAGGAAGTCCCAATCCTTTCCGGGCCCTTTTCCCCATGGCCGTCTTCCCATCCCGAGCCGATGTTTGATGGCCCTGGCGCCCGGCTAGGGCGCCCAGAGGGCCGAACAATCTTCGTACCGTTGTTCTTAAGCTCGACAGAGGTCTGGGGCCGACGAGGCGACGTCGACGTCCTTCGCTGCTTCCGCGCGCCCCTGTGCCCCCGCCTCCCCGAGCGCGTCGGGCGTCTCGTAGTGGGGGGGCGATCAACTGCGGGGGATCGAGGGTTGCAGGGACGGGGCCCCAGAAGGGGCACCAGGGTGTCCCCCCCCAGGGCCCCGAATGTACAAGAGAGGTGCACCTGTCTCCACTTGAAGATGGAAGACGGCATAAACATAATCTTCCGACGGCGCGCGGATTTCTTGAATTCGCGCTGGACCCCCCTGGCGGCGCCTCTGGCGCCGCCTCTGGCGCCGCCCCTGGCGCGCTCCACGCGCCAGGGAGCGGGGTCCAGCGCAGATCATAAAAGTCTGCGCGGACTGTCGAAAGTTGTTGTGCAGTTTATCTCTCTCTTTGTTCACCCCTCGTTCATTGCCTTCCCAAGTACGAATCGCCCAGGCGCTGGGGGGAAGGGGAGAGCGGACGTGCTGCTGGTGTGGTTCTGCCACCCCTGCGACAGCGGGCACCCCCACGGGCAGGAGTGCCCGGACTCGTGACCGAGCGGGGAAAAAGGGAGCCACGACACGCTCAGGCAAGCCCAGGAGATCGCTGCAGAGCGATTTTGGAGCGCTCTCGGGAGCCAGTCGAGAGCGGCGGCCTTGCTTGGCGTGTTTCGTCATTGTTCTTGGCCTCCGTGGAGGGGTCTCGTCGCCACGGCTGGACCCGCCTCGGAAACCCAGTGCTTGCTTCAGGGTTCCTTGCATAGGTTTTTACGGAGTTGGGCGGGCCTGGGGGGTTCGCCTCGCCCCGTTAGTTGCCATCCGTGGGCGCCTCGTGGGCTCCCCGTGCGCTGGGTGGGTGTGGCGCTGTCTCCGATGATCGCAATGCGCACTTCCATCTGCTGCCCGTGCTTGGGGACCCTCTGCGCCGCTGGCTTCAATGTGGCGCTGTTCCGAGTGGCGCCCAGTCGGTCGCCGCCCGTGCGCGCCCCGTGCGTTGGTGGACTGCGGCGGGGGTGTCCCCGGGTGCCCGGTCGGTTGCCGCCCGTGGGCGCTCGGTGGGCACCCCGTGCGCTGCAGTGGGTGTGCCAGGTGTGCCGAGGTGTCGCCTGGTGCCCGCCCTTTGGCCGCCGGCGGGCGCCTCGTAGGCTCCGCGTGGGCGGCCGTCCGTGGGCGCCTTTGGCCGCCCGCGGGCGCCTGTGCCCGCCCGCGGGCGCCTTTGGCCGCCCGCGCCGCCGGGCGCCTGGTGCCTGCCCTTTGGCCGCCGGCGGGCGCCTCGTAGGCTCCGCGTGGGCGGCCGTCCGTGGGCGCCTCGCCGCCGCCCGCAAGGCTTGCACCGCACAGCTTGCACCACATGTAACTGGCACGTGGCTGGAACGACGCATCGTGTGCCGCATGTTTTGCGCGACCCAGGTTACACCACATGTGCCACAGGCAGTGCACCACGTACACGTTGTTCTCTGTTTGAGATCCACGCTGGCAAGCTTGCGCTATCACAGTCCATGTGTACACAATGCGTATGTGCACATGCACTATCGGAGGTCGGGGGGGTGAGATCGCAGTGGAATGGAGACCCCCCCGCGAAATCGTTTCGTTTCGTTCGTGTCGTGCGTGCGGGCGAGGCGAAGCTGCGTGGGCGCGCGAGGGCAATGAACCTGCCGTTGCTAGGACGAAGTCGAGACAAATGTTTCTCCTCCGCCGTCCGTCCGGCGGTGGCCTGAGCGGTGTCCCGTGGTGTCCCGTGGTGTCCGCCGCTGCTAGGGCGAAGTCAAAACAAATGTTTCTCCTCCGTCCGTCCGGCGGTGACTTGAGCGGTGTCCCGCGGTGTCCCGTGGTGTCCCGTGGTGTCCGCCGTTGCTAGGGCGAAGCCAAGACAAATGTTTCTCCTCCGTCCGTTCGGCGGTGGCCCTAGCGTTGTCCCGTGGTGTCCCGTGGTGTCCCGTAGTGTCCGCCGTTGCTAGGGCGAAGCCAAGACAAATGTTTCTCCTCCGTCCGTCCGTCCGGCGCTGGCCCTAGCGGTGTCCCGTGGTGTACAGTGGTGGCCCGGCGGTGGACACCACGGGACACCTGTCGACCTCATTATCGATCTCTTTATCGATTTCACTTTTTGGGGCACCACGGGACATTTCGGGGCACCACATCGATCTCAGTATCGATATCAGTATCGATCTCATTATCGATATCAGTATCGATCTCACTATCGATCTCACTATCGATCTCACTCAACGGGACACCACGGGTCACCACGGGGCACCTGTCGATCTCACTATCGATCTCACTATCGTTATCGCTTTTTGGGGCACCACGGGACACCTCAGGGCACCACATCGACCTCAGTATCGATTTCAGTATCGATCTCACTATCGTTTTCACCATCGACTTCACTATCGATCTCACTATAGATCTCACTCAACGGGACACCACGGGACACCACGGGACACCGCGGGCCACCGCGGGACAGAGGGAAGGCGGAGGAGCACCATTTGTCTTGACTTCGCCCTAACAATGGCGGGTTTATTGTCCTCGCGCGCCTACGCAGCTTCGCCTAGCCTGCACGCATGACACTAACCAAACGAAACGATTTCACGGTTGGGGGTATCCGTTCCATTGCGATCTCACCCCCCAATTTCCGATAGGTGCGAATCTAGTTCGTTGAATACATACATGTGTTCACACACGTAGGAGATCGGAGGTTGGGGGATGAGATCGCAGTGAAACGGAGACACCCCACCAGGAAATCGGTTTCGGTTTCGTGTTCGTGTCGTGCGTGCGGGCGAGGCGAAGCTGCGCGTGATCCTCCTGTAGCTAGGCTGAAGTAGGAGCGAGAGTCCGTTTCCCGTCCGCCGGTGGCCAGGAGGTGTCCCAGTTGGGCCAGGCGGTGTCCCGGGTGTCCCAGGTGTCCCGGGCGTTCCGGTGCCAACGCATGTCGTTAATTTCACAATTCATTGTTTTCGGCGCCTGCGGCGGGCTTTCTTATCCAATTCAGCTTATCTGATCCAATCCATCTTGTCCAATCCAATCCATCTTATCTTATCAAACCCATCTTGTTCCATCTTATTTTATCCCACCCAATCCAATCCACCCAACCCAATCCATCAATTCATTTGTTTCTGCGCCTGCAGCGGGCCAATCCAATCCATCTTATCTTCTCCAATCCATTTCTTCCAATCCAACCCATCTCATCTGATCCAATCCATCTTATCCCATTCCATCCAAGCCACCCAACTCAATCAAGCGATTCATTTTTGTCGGCGCCTGCGGCTGGCTTTCTTATCCAATTCAGCTTATCTGATCCAATCCATCTTGTCCAATCCAATCCAGCTTATCTAATCCAACCTATCAAGGTGACAGGCTGGAGGTCAGTCAGGGTGGGCGTTTGATCTCAATCCCCCCAAACCTCCTTATCGCCCGCAGGGCGGTCGTATAGGTAGATGTATCTCGGAAGCTGATCCGACTCAACTCGGATACCAGCCAGGGAGTCTGGATCGCCTGTTCCCCGGGAGGGCCGAATACGGCCCCAGATGGCCGCACGGACCCCCACGCCGGCCTCAAAGGACCCACGAGGGCCTCTAGAGGCCGCGAAGAGTTCCCCCATACGGCCAAGGCAAAGCAAGGACAGCTCGAGATGGCCTGTAGATGGACGCAATACGTCCCAACAGGTCTCCAAGGGGGCCCCCAAAAGTGCTTGCAAACAAGATTTCGTACCATTGGTCTGAAGAGCTGGGCCTCCGTGTCGGTCTGGCGGCTCCGTGCCCGCCGTCGCCGCCTCGTTGCCACCCGTCCCCTGGGCTTGTGTGTCGGTCTGGCGGCTCCGTTCCGGCCGTCGCCGACTCGTCGCCGCCCGTCGTTGTTGCTTCGCCGTCGCCGACAGTTACGTTGCTTTGCCCTGCGCTGCATGAAATTGCGTTGCTCAGCGTTCCAAAATTGCAAAGCATTGCATTGCCTTGCTTTGCATCGCTTTGCGTTGCATTCTGTGGCTTTTCATTGCTTTGCCTTGCTTCGCATTGCTACGCTGTGCTTAGCATTTCTCTGCATTGCTTTGCAGTGCTATGTCGTGTTTGGCATTGCTTTTCGTTGCAGTCCCTCCCTCCTCCTCCCTCTTGCTTCGCGTTGCTGCCACTTGCTTTGCAGTGTGCACGTGGCTTCTCGCTGCTTTGCATGCCTTCGCATCTCACTGCGCTGCTTTACATTATTGCGAAGGCCTTACGGCCAGTGCCGCCGACCCTGAGGACGACGAAGATGAAATTGAGGGGGGGACAGGTGGAGGAGGATGAGTGGGAGGTGGAGGAAGGGTGGGGGAGGTGGATGAGGGAGGAGGAGGGGGGAGAAGGATGTGGAGGAGAAGCAAGAGGAGGAGAAGGAGGCAGAGGAGAGCAGGAGGATGGGGAGCAGAGGGGGGGGGAGGAGGAGGAGGAGGAGGAGGAGGAGGAGGAGGAGGAGGAGGAGGAAGAGGAAGAGGAGGAGGCCAGAGGCTTTCTTGGGACAGCCTGCGGTTCTCTTGAGGCCGTCTTGGGCCGTCCAGGGCTCCTCTTGCGCCGTCTCGAGGCACTCTTGGAGGCCTCCTGGGCAATTCGGGACTCTCCTGGGCTGTCTTGGGGCAATCTTGGGGGCCTCTTGGGCCGTCTTGGAGGCGTCTTGGGCCGTCTTGGGGCCCTCTTCGGCCGTTAGGGGACCCTCTTGGGGGCCTCTTGGGCTGCCTCGGGGCGATCTTGGGGGCCTCTTGGGCCGTCTTGGCGCGTCGGGAAGCGGAAGAGGCAAAAACGCCAACATCTGTTAAAATCGTATGGGAAATCCATAAATTTTGTCTCTTGGGTGTCTCGTGGGAGGGCTCCTGGAGGCCTCTTGGGGCGCGTTGCAGGCTTCTTGGGCCGTCTGGAGGCCGTCAATGCGTCTTGCACAGATCGTTCGGCGATTCGGGGTTCTCTTGGACTGTCTTTGGGGCCTCTTGGGGCACTCTTGGCACGTCTTGGGGCTTTTTTTGGGCTCCGGGACTCCCCGGGGGGGCGTCGTATCTGACCCCCCCGCCCTGGGATCCCCCCCGCCCCACCCCCCGGCGGGGAAGGGATCGAAGGGAAGGGGCTCCCCTTCGACTCAATTACGACGTTGCTCAACTTCGCTTTGGTTGGCGCGCTGAGGAGGTCCCTGGAAAAGAGGGGAGCTTCGACGAGCCCAGGGAAAGGGAGAGGCAGGGAAATGGGACGACAGAGACGACGACCAATAAATGAAGGAGATGACGACTTGAACGGACAAGCCCCTCACACACCTCACACACGCAGACAGGGTCGGCGGATTTTGCATTGACTTGCGTTGTTTTGCATCGCAGCGCATTTCTTTGAATTGCTTTGCGTTGGGTGTCGTCGTATGGCTCATCAGGGAGGGGAAGGGAGGGGGAATTGAGTATGAGGAGGGAGCGGGCGAGGAAGGGAATGATAAGGTGTGCCGTTTTCTGGTGATGTCCTTGCGTGCCACAGCGCTCGCATACACGACAGTACCATGTGTGTAACAAGGACGGAGCTGCACAGAAGTGTGAGAACGGACGATTTCCACAATTTAAGAACGTGATGCCCGTGTATTTTCTTCCTTCGCCTGGAGGGTGGAGGATGAGCGCGGGGATGCCCTCGAGAGAAGGATTGGGGAACTGGTAGGGGTAAAAGGTGTCATGGGATCTGTTGGTCGCAGCAGGAACGGGCCCCCGCGCATCTTTTTTGGTTCCCCTCACTCCCCTCCTCCTCGACGTCTCCGATGTCGGCCGCGTCGGCGGCGCCCTGCCGGCCGCCGAGGAAGGGGCGAGGAGGGAGGAGGGAGATTCCCCGGGGTGCAGGATTGCAGGTTATCCGTAAGGGCTTCGCCCCCTGCCGCCGGCCCCCTCTCTCGGAGAATGGGCCATGGAAGAGCTAAGTCATGAGGCTTCGGGGCTGTCGTGCAGCAGTATCGGAACTTCATGCGAGGCCGATTCGCAATCGGCAAAACCAACTGATCACAAGAGGGGTTACCACACAGGGCGATTGGTAAGACGTGTATGGTTTACGAGCTTGGTTACCACACCTTGAGATTAAAGGGCCGAGGTAGTACTCGCAGTTTGGGTTACCACGCCTTGCGATGGATGTGCGTGAGGGGTGGCACCGAATTTCAGAAATGTGGCAAATCCCCTGTGTTTTTGGACCCTAACCCCGCGGATCTGCGTGAGGGGTGGCACCGAATTTCAGAAATGTGGCAGATCCCTTGTGTTTTTGGACCCTGACCCCGCGGATCTGCGTGAGGGGTGGCACCGAATTTCAGAAATGTGGCAAATCCCTTGTGTTTTTTGGACCCTGACCCCGCGGATCTGCGTGAGGGGTGGCACCGAATTTCAGAAATGTGGCAAATCCCCTGTGTTTTTGGACCCTGACCCCGCGGATCTGCGTGAGGGGTGGCACCGAATTTCAGAAATGTGGCAAATCCCCTGTGTTGTTGGAACCTGACCCCGCGGATCTGCGTGAGGGGTGTCGATTTCGAGCCCCCCCACAACGCGCCCAGGGGGTGCTAAAAAGTCCTTTTTGGGCCTCCCCCCCCCTCGCGCGGTCAATCAACTAGTTTCAGTAACCAGCAAGAAGCAGAACTGTAACACTGGAAACTACAACCTACGACTGGCACAGGAAACTGCGAACCTCGCGCCTACAGCCTGGTGGCCCCACAAGGGGGCCGGCGGATCTCGTGGGGGCGCGCATCAAGAAACCATATGCTTTTCGTCAGGGTATCCTGGGTCTCTTCGTTCCTCGCGCTGCGCGGTGACTTCCCGCAGGCGTTGAAGGAGCTGCTGCGTTCAGGGTGCTCCAGGTTTCCCCTCAGGTGCACCTCGCGCACGGGTTCTCAGGGTTGGGTTTCTTGCGAGGGTTTCTTGCGGCCGCGCCCGCACTGTATCTCGTCTCACCCTGGGTCTACACTTTTTCTTTTCTTTCGGTAGTTCTGGACCTCTGGCTTTGGACTCCGATTCTGGTTCATTGGGTCTTCCGAGGCTCCAAGACGGCCCACAGGCCGGCCAAGATCGCTTCAACATTGTTGGAAACGCGCCCAAGAGGGCACCGAACGATGCCCAAGACGACCCGAGAGGCCCGAAGAGGGCCCCGAGACGCCCCAAGATGGCCCTTGAAGGGGCTCCACAGAGCTCAAGAGGTTCCAGGACAGCCAGACAGGGCCCTCGAAACCTCCCCCAAACAGCCCCACGAGACCCCCAGGACTGCCCAGAGGGCCCCAAGACTGGCTAACCACACCTCGCCCCCCCCTTCCTGGGCGAGCCCCACTGCCCCCCCCTCCCCGTGAGTCCATGAGGCCGCGCGGCCCCCGCCCCCGGCTGGGCGACCCCAGGCTCCCTCCCAGACGAGAGAAAATGCAGGGACGATCGAAGTGGGTACGGAAAGAATGGGTACGATGCCCAACAGCAGTTGCGGACGTTGTTCATTGAATACAAAAAGCCGCCTGCCCGACAGCGGCCACTGCCGGTTTGGGACAACATTTGTTGATTGGCATTGTCCTATTTCTCCGTACCCATTCTGGACTTCCAAAAGAGAAACGCGACAATGTTTGTTTGAGGAGGATATGTTTGAGTTTCAAAGGTGAGTTTCAGTCCTCCTCCCGCCCCGTTTGGGCTCTGACGTTGCTGCGCCCACAGGTCGTTGACGGACGACCAAGGCAACTGTTTTTGGAGGCTTGAAGGTTGAGTAAACGTCGCGCGTGGAGATTTTGTCGCGGCGCTTGGGGGATATGCGTTCCTGTTCCCTCCTGCCTCCCTCTCTCCCAGGTCCTCTCCCGAGACTCGATCCCGGATGGGCCCCCGCGCCTGGTCTATCGGCCAGGCGCCTCTCAGGCTGCCGCCCTCCTCAAGAGCAGTTATCGCTCGACCAGTCCAGGGGTGGAAATGGGGTCTCCCGCGCCAGCTGAGACGCCGACTGGGGGGTCCGAGACCGATGCTCCCCAGACACCAGGGACAAGGAGCCCCGAGGCGAATGCAGCCATGGAGACGAGGGCCCACCCCCCAGGGAGGGCCAGAAGGGCAAACGCGGGCGATGATCGGTATCAGTATCTCCCTCCCGACCGACAGAACCGTCTACGCGGCTAGCGAACCGAACCGAACCGAACCGAACCCCCTCCGTCGCACCCGCCAGCGCCGGCGCCCAGGACGATAGGAGGCGGTGCAGGCGCCTGCGGCGTGCGCGCGCGCGCGGCTAGGGGGAGGCGAGGAGGACGTCGTCGTCGTCGTCGTCGTCGCCGCCGTCGTCGTCGTCGCCGCCGCCGCCGTCGTCGTCGTCGTCGTCGTCGTCGTCGTCCTCGTCTAATTTGACTATGAGAGGAAGTCCAGGTGGGCCCCCCCTGTAAAACTTCTCGGGAAGGTCCATCGGAGATGACCCTTCTCTCACCCCGCGCGCCTCCCTCTCCCCTCCTCCTTCTCCTTCTCCTCCTCCTCCTACTCATCATCATCTTCCTTCCCTCCCCACGACTCCCCCTCCTTTCCTCGAACGCGCTGGCCCTGGCCTCCCGCCTGGGCGTTCGTCATCGCCTGCCTGCTTCTCCCCTCCTCGTCCCCTTCCGCTGGACCGCGCAGCCTGCCCGGAACCAGCGTGGCGGCATGTGGAGCTCTTCCCTCAGCGCCGAGCGCAGTTGCTTTGGCGAGTTGGACCGATACTGAACCGCGGAGGAGGAGGAGGAGGAGGAGGAGGAGGAGGAGGAGGGGGCAGGAGGAGGAGGAGGAGGAGGAGGAGGAGGAGGAGGAGGAGGGGCAGCAGCTTTTGCTTGAGCAGAAGAGCCTGGAGAAAGTGATCCTAGTGGACGAGGCGTCGGATGGGCTTTCATGCATGCCCAGAGGTTCGACGATGACGACGAAGACGACGGCGACGACGACGTCGACGACGACGACGACGACGACGACGACGGCGGCGGCGGCGGCGGCGGCGTCGGCGGCGACGACGACGACCGCGGCGGACGACGACAACTGGCGACGCCAATGATGGGCGACCGCCGCCGACGACGACGACCAGCGACGGCCAACGACGACCGACGACGGGCGACGAGCGAAATTGCGACAACGACCGACGACGATCGCGGATGACGACAACGACGAGCGACCGCGACGGCCGACGGCCACCCTCAGCCCCCAGGTGCTCGGGCCAGCGAAGGCCATGCGCCGCGTGCCTGTCGCAGATGTACCTGTCGGGACGCGCGGGCCGGGGGCCCGCGCGGCGCGCCACTCCGGGGGGCCGGTCGGTGCCCCGCTCGCCCCGCCGGGCCGTCGTCGTAGGCGTCGCTGCTGTGGCTGTCGCTGGTGTCGGCGCCGTCTCCGTCTGCGTCGTCGTCGTCGCTATCGTCGCCGTCGTCGTCGTCGTCGTCGCCGCTGTCGTCGTCGCAGTCGTCGTCGTCGCCGCCGCCGCCGCTGCCGCCGACGACGACATCGTCGTCGCCGCTGACGTGGTCGCAGTCAGCGCCTTCCTCGTCGTCGTCGTCGTCGTCCGTCGTCGTCGTCTTCGTCGTCCGTCGTCCGTCGTTTTCGTCGTCGTCGTCTTCGTCGTCGTCCTCCACTGTTTTCGTCGTCGTCGTCATCATCATCGCCATGGTCGCCGTCATCGTTGTCGCCGTCGTCGTCTCCGGCGCGAGCCATGATGACGATCCAGAAGGGGAAAGTGGATATCCGGGCTGGAGGTGGGAGACGACAAGCAGGACAAGTACAGTCAACACGCTGAAATTCCGACCACATTTGGCTCAGGAGGCGGCTGGTCTTCGGTTCGTTTCTTAGATCTAGGTGTGGGAGCCTTTTTTAAGTAGCCAGGGTTCGAGGTGGTCAGAAAAGCCTCCGTCGTTCCTTACTCAGCATTCTTTATGGTAGCACGATGACGGTAGCGACCCACTGAGGAAACGTGCGCAAGCCGCCAGCACCCTCACCCTGCAGGAAACGATGCTTGAGGGGCTCCCCCACAGCAGCGAAACAACGCCAGGACCAAGGACTCGCCAATGCCTTTGCGGCTTCCCACGCCTCAGTCTCATCAGCCGGGTCTTCTGCGCGCTGAGGTTCTTGGAGATCTCGGAGACAAGTAGAAGGTGGGGGCGGGCGAGGGCGACGAGCCGGCTGGACGAGAGGGGTGGACATGTTCGGTTTGCAGCTGGCTTCGGCCCAGCCGCAAGGCTTTTTTCTGTATATACACTGACGTTTCTTGTGCCGAGAGGTTCCTCGAACACCAGCTTCAGTTCATTCGCTTACCCGCCTTTTATTATCCACCTTTCCGTCCGACCCGTATGAGGGTGACAGGGGAAGTGGAGCAGGGGAAGGGGAGGAGGGGACGGATGAGGTGGACGTGAAGGGGGATGAGGACATGGAGGAAGAGTAAGACGGATCGAATATTCGGAATTACGGGGACAGAAAGATAATAACAATTGCAGCTGGCGCACGATGGTTCAGAACAACCCTAGCTTTGGAGGGTTGGCCTCAGCCCCTTTCTGTTTTGGGCTCTCCATTCCAACTGACGTGGGAACCATCTTCCATTTGCGTGTGCCCGCGTAGGGCCATGGGGTCGACAGGATCCGGCGACGACGAGGAG